TATTTCTAGACTTACAATAATCGTGATTATACCTGCGGTATAATTTTATTAAAACGATCATAAATTCCTAATTTAAGATACGAGATTTGATTCCAATTATTGATCGTAATATAATAAACGTTTCTTCGCTTGGTGAGCGAATTTTGCGAAATATATCATAAAAATTAAACGTAAAATAATTTATATGATACCAATGTGATTATCTGCATATATTTCTAGAGTTACAATAATCGCGATTATAGGTACCTGCGGTATAATTTCATTAAAACGATTATAAATTCCTAATTTATAATAAGATACGAGATTTGATTCCAATTATTGATTGTATAATATAATAAACGTTTTTTCGCTTGATGAGCAATTTTTGTAAAATATATTATAAAAATTAAACGTAAAATGATTTATGATTATTAATGTGATTATCCGTTATATTTCTAGACTTACAATAATCGCGATTATCTGCGGTATAATTTAATTAAAACGATCGTAAATTCCTAATTTAAGATACGAGATTTGATTTCAATTATTGATCGTATAATATAATAAATGTTTTTTCGCTTGGTGAGCGAATTTTGCGAAATATATCATAAAAATTAAACATAAAATAATTTATATGATACCAATGTGATTATCCGCAATATATTTTTAAACTTACAATAATCGCGATTATACCTGCGGTATAATTTCATTAAAACGATCATAAATTCCTAATTTAAGATACGAGATTTGATTCCAATTATTGATCGTATAATATAATAAACATTTTTTCACTTGGTGATCGAATTATGCGAAATATATCATAAAAATTAAACGTAAAATAATTTATGATTATTAATGTGATTATCCGCGATATATTTCTAGACTTACAATAATCGCGATTATCTGCGGTATAATGTCATTAAAACGATCATAAATTCCTAATTGAAGTTACTGGATTTGACTCTAACTATTTGATCATCGCTAACAATATATAGCTTACCTGTAAACCGCCGAAGGATAGATATTGAGAAGAGCGTTGTCGAAGATTTCATAGATCCTCGGTTCCGAAAGGACCTTTACGTTGCCTTGATTTCTCGTAGGCGAGACCTGAGAAAAGTACTCCGCGTATCGAGTGAAATAGTTGCCGTAAAATCGTTTCGCTTCGTCCGACATGTGTCGTCTCATTTCATCAAAGTGCAGCCGTTGCCGTTTCATGATATTGCTTTCTGATACAAAGCCTCCTGTGATAAAGAGAGAGAGAGAGAGAAAACCGTAACAAGAAAAGAGAAAAAATAAATAAAATATATTCGACGCATCCAAACAACATATATTTTTCTCACACTTTAAATTTTCTGGAGTGACTTTTCACTCTTTTGGAGTGAATTTCACTCCAAAAGAGTAAAAATACTGCCACTCAAGTGGCCGAGTGGCAGTATTTTCAATCTTTTGGTGTGAGATTTACTTCAGAAAATTTAGAGAGCAATCAGTGCCAATCGAAAGTTAGACATGATTTCGGGAGTTTTACACTGACCAGGTATAAAAGAGACCACTTCGATCCCATATTTGCCAACTTCTGTTCGAAGGGAAGTGGTCCACGCGGTGAGAGCGGCCTTCGTAGCTCCATAGATACTTATACCCGGCAGAGGCTGATCGGCGCAATGGCTGGATACCATGATTATTCTACTACGATTCCCTCGTAAAATTGGCATCAACTCTCGCGTGATTCTCATCGTTCCCAACAGATTCACATTGATCTGATGCTCCGCGAGATGCTGCGTTTGCCATTCGAATTCGCCGAAAACCATCACCCCCGCATTATTGACCAATGCACGCAATACTGCGGACGGTGAAGCGCAAACAAAAATATATAAATCTTATGTAGATTATAAATTTACCTCATTTCTATATATAAGTATCGCATTTTCTAGAGGTGTACGAATAGTTCGAATTCGAATCGAATCGAATCACAGTAGATTCGATTCGATTCGTTTTCGAATCTGCAAGATTCGAAATCGAATAGTTCGAGAATTTCGAATCAACAATGGTTTGATTTTGAATTGATTACCTAATGTAATGTTAATCTGGAAAAATTGGATTCAGATTTGATTCGTATTTGAATTAAAGAAATTCGATTCAATTGGATTCGAAGTAAAAATTTCAGATTCGATTCGATTCGATTTCGAACATATTATAAAAATTCGATTCGATTCGATTCGAATGCAAATGCTTGATTCGCACACCTCTAGCATTTTCCTCGATTGTTAATTTTCGTATCGCTCACCTAACTGTTGCTCCTCCAACAGTTTCCTAACTTTGTCTCGAAAATCCCGAGTAGATTGTGCATTCGTGATATCGAGATGGTGAACGATAATGCCCTTGTTCTCCAATGCTTCAACGGCAGCATTAGAATTAGACACTGCTGCTATTTCGCGTACTCCGGCCAAAACCGTCGCACCCCTGGCGCGACAGTGCATCGCTAGACTGTAACCCAAACCGGAATTACAACCGGTTATCACGATAAGATCCCGCGCACTGATTGTCCGCCGACGACCGAAGAAACAGTATAAAGTAGCACCACCTAAGGAAAAAAGAAAGGACAATGAGGAATTTCCTTAAATATCTCGCTAATTTGAACTTTTGATTCTTAGCTAACATATCCCAGCTTCCTATATTAAAGTTTCGCTGAAGCTGGAATGCTAAACGAATATTTTATATAATAGAAAAATTAATTGAAAAACTTCGTGATAAGATTTTTCTTTTTTTAAAGTACATTTATTTTACGTAACTACATGTAAAATTGAACAAAAGATAAAGTTTATATTGCCGTTACAAAGTTACTAAACAAAATTAAATTAATTACGAAATTGTAGAATAAAATGCGAATTGCGAATTTATTGATTTATTTGTGCTTAAAACTGTTTTTTTTTCGGCATTTTTTCTTATAAAATACACTAAATTTAAAGGAGACGCAATAACGTGTTCCTTCAAGTCAGATAAAATTTCTAAGAAAAGATTTGAGGCATCAGGAAAATGCGTTAGGTTTTTCAATTTGACAAAGTCAGCGAACGGATGATATTAAGCAAAGCGAGCAAACAGATTCCCCCTTACCCAGCAAAATCATCGAAAGCATCGCGGCCTTGCGCGTGTATCCGGCGTCCACGAGATACGCGATATTGCACGAAATTGTCGTCCCAATTTGTAATGCCATTGAATGTTTCCTCCACCACGCTGCCCATCCGCTACCATACACTTCTTCCACCGAATTCATCTTTAAATTATGTGCAGGACGCTCATCCACCATACAGTTCACCGGCCAGTTTGCCTGCCCGATAACACAAGCATCATCTTAAACGACTCAAGCGCAAACCGGTCTCCAACTATTCATTATATGAATTAATTTAAATATCGTCACGCTTAATAGAGTAAAGATTTTTTTTTATATTTTTATCGCGTATAGTAAATTTTAACACATATGAATATTTATTTAAAACTGCGTAACATTCTTTAAAAAAAGAAACGGATTTTATTATAAGATTTTCAGTCGAGTTATCTTTTGTAGCAAATAAAAAATATAAGATTTTAGCTGAATAAATGTGCTAAATAGCATGGTAAATACTTACAAATAACAGCAATGTCACGAAAATATGAGGATCGACGATCGATTCTTGTGCTCACCGCGTCCACCGCTACAAGGAGAATGATCCTGCACGATCCAGCTTGCCTGACCGGCCTCTCTAGAATGCTAAGAAATGTGACCCGATCAACCCGACTCGCGTGACGTCGTCGTACCCGTCGTTTTTCGATGTGGAATACGCGGTAGAGTGTTTAAAATAAAACACAATCTTTTCCATGTTCCCGTTTTTACTGTTCAAAACATTTCAGATATAGTCTAGTATATCTAGTATATTCAATTTACAGTACATTCAATTTCGATTTACTTGCTGTATCTCCCGTTTTTTAGAAAAATTAGTTAAATTAATATTGTATAATATGGCCACAGATTCTTATTATTCTGTTACCAAATAAACATACACAAATTTTTATTTAAAATCTCATTTTTATTTGCTACAACAAAAAATAACTCGACTAAAAAATCTTATAATAAAATCTGTTTTTTTTTTTTTTAAAGAATATTATGCAGTTTTAAATAAACGTCCATAAAAATACAGATACATGGATAGGCTTTATCACTTTACGTGCGATTGTTTTGAAGCATTTTAATATTTCATGGGTTAGATGTTTATAGGCGATTGGAGACAGTCTTCATTTGAATTTCAATATCCCACACACTACAAGAAGAGAAAAAACGTATCGAATTGTGTATATCTCTTTTTACGCTTGTAGAGATATCTTAGAGAAATACTTTGCTGCATTCTTCCAAAGTTCCAGCTTTAAAAAAAAAACATTCTCGCATGAATACATTGGAAGACATTGTCTGGCCGAAAAAAAAATGAAGCGTTTCATGTTGCAGTAAATTAAGACTGATTATATACCAAATAATAATTAATAATCATAAAATACAGAATTATACAAATAACAAACGATTAGATAACAAAAAAAATTAGATAAAACCGATTATCGCTATTAAAATTATGAGATGCATATATATATATATATATATATATGTGTGTATATATATCTATGTGTGTGTGTGTGTGTGTGTGTCTGTGTATGTATACAATACAATACAATATAAAAAATATTACATGCAAAAATAATTCCAAGTTCCTCGGTCTTAATATATGGATAAGAAAACAAGTTTTTAATATGATAGTTTTCATACAATGGTTTCATAGATTATATAAATCGACAAGCCTTTACAGATTTAAATGTACAACTTCGCTGTGAGATATAATTTACATAAAAATTAACAAACGTTACACTAAGCTTATAATAAATGTCCTACTGTCCCACAAAGTTGTGCTTTTTCACGTATTGCAATTGCGTTCCAGTTACATATTCACGACTGCCACGTCCCTCGCATTTCCAGAGATTGCATTTATTCATTCGTACCTCATGACGAATCGACGAATTGTGGTCGCGCGTGATGCGCACAGTACATTAAATTACCGACTTCTCGAATTTCAAATTAGGATTCGCTTTCACGTCGAAACTCAGATCGCCGTCGGTCGCCATTCTGCCCAGCCACGAAAAGAGCAGGATAATCCCAACGAAGAACAATACACCGATAACGGTCAACACGGCGTATCTCTTGTACAGAGATCCCGCGGTTTTCCGCCGTACGGGCGCCCTCGATATCAGTTTCCACCATCTTCGGAACCATTCCACAGCCGACTTGCGCTGATACTTATTCTCGTCGTGGTCGAAGGACACGTCCTTCGGATCGTCGTAGGCCTCGCACACCTTCCTCGATGCCGGAGCGGACAGTCCTAGGGACGAGTCGATATTCACGACCGAATAGGGCGGGCCGAGCTTTTGACTGTTCGCGTGTACGTTGCTGACGATGGAATTCGAATTTATGGTGCTGCTTGTACGAGACACGGCGACTGTGGGCGACGACGGTGTAGCCGCTGTGTGATTTTGGAACATGGAGTTCTCCACAGTTATCGACGACGAAGGACGCTCCTGTTCCGGCTTTTGTTCCCTGTCGTCACTCAGCTGCGACAAAAGCAAACATTTTATACGGTATACAAGATACAAAATACATCTTTTTGGCAATACATTGATTGAACGACAATAAGTAAGATAAAATAATACACGTATAGTATGTATATGTATATCGCGACGAGTACCAATGGCAAACCGAGACCAGCCCGGGCCCAGTTGACAGCGGCCAATTTCTCCCTCAGAACGTCCGCGACTGGCGACACCAGTTTCGGCTGCGGAAAGATGCACACTCTACACGTGGGACAGGTGTATCCCGCCGGCGCGGTCGTCGCCGGCAGATCTCGGGCGTATCGGTCCAGGCACACCCAGTGGTACATGTGGTAGCACGTCAATCTTATGCAATCGCCGTCGCTCAGTTTGTCCGAACATAGGGTGCAAATTGGATTGTAATCATGATCGTGGAGCCACAGGAGATACGACTGTACGATACACTGTGTAAAATCAGTAGAACATTAATATATACATGTAGGTTATGTTGAACGCCGTTCGACGCCGCGCGAAGGAGGGTGTCGAAGGTATCTTTTCAAAAATGTTAAAAAAAAAAAAAAACGAAATTTGGAGAAAGGTGTACCTTCGGGTGTCCCGTAACCATGCAGTGTTCGCATACGTTGACTCGATGCTCGAAACAAAATTGATTCGTTACCCTCCTCTTCGGACACTTGCACAGACCCATGTTGCAACGTCGTGCGCGCGACAAACGCGAGACGAGAGGGATCGAGACGCGACCGTGGAAATGCGCGGTCGAAGGGTCCAATTCGCAAAACCGGGCGCCCGCTTTATTGAGCCCTGTCGCCGCGCGACATGTCGGAAACTCGAGATAATATCACCGCTTTATTTGCACTGCCCACCATACTTCGTCGGCCACGTCGTCTGACAGTCCCTCGCAGCCGGGCCGAGATTCGGTATTATCGGAAATAACCAACAGACTCGACGTTCCTCCAATCCGTCCGCCAATCGTAACGATCGTATTACGTTACACGAGAAATATCGGATAATAAAAATTAATGTACATACAATAAAATATGTGATATGCGTTTGACGGAATACATATCAAGTAAATTAAACAAAGATATAAGGTTACTGCCCCCTATTAGTGTGCCCCTATTAGTGTGCCTGTCCCTATTAGTGTGCTTTTATATTTAAATAAGTCATAAAAATAGGTACAAATAAATAAAGTATTTTTTTTAAGTTAAAGTATAAATACTTAAAGTATTTTTTTTTATCAATTATAGTTAATACTTGATAAAAAACTATGTTAAATGTAAATGTTTAATGTAAATGATTATCAAAAATACTTTGTCTATTTATTTGTTTATTTTTATGACTTATTTAAATATAAAAGCTAGCACACTAATTAGAGACCTGTTAATTATTTTAAATTGGAAATTAAAGCGTCGATGAATATTGCATTAAAATTTAAATGTATAAATATAGTCTTTAAATCAGTACGGATTAACAGATCGAGGTGTTGCAAAATTCTTCTGCACATTTGTACTGCCACCGACGAAATACTCTTAAAAACCGACAGCCCTGACCCTAAATAAATTTTCGTGTCAGCCAAAGGGCCCGGAGGGCCCGGAGGTAATTGCAAAGCGTCGATATTATCGACTTTTGACATAAATTTGCAATTTATTTGAATAATACATTATTAAAATCATGATTTTCATTATATAAATGCTTTATAAATTAAGTATTAATACTTATAATCAGGGTTTGGGTAGTGGCTAGTTTAATTAATATAATAAGATAAAAGTATAAAGTTAAAAAGTTAAAAAAAGTTAAATAATTTTAACTTTAGTCTTTACTTAATTATATTTTATATTAGCAAGATATAATACAGATGAATTACAATGTATTGTATGTATGTACATACTGCATACATATACATGTCTAAAAAACATTGGTCTATTTTAATAAATCATAAAATTAATGTTATATTATTGACTATAATTGCTTAAATTTTAGCAATTACTAAACACTCGCTAAACAGCCACATTTAAGAGTATCTCGGTCTTATAAGATCAGTATCTCGTCGGTGGTATATACTGCACTGCTAATTAAAATTATCGCAATTAGTCGACTTAATGCAGTGTAATAATTATATATTTTCCTGTACGTGGAAATATTCTCTTCTTTTCGTAAAAAGATTCAGCGAAAAAAGAAAGCGTTGCGAAATTGAAAGAAATACAACAGAGTGTCCCGAAATTCGCGAATCAAAATACCATAGAGTCTTCAAAAAATTTAGTAAAAAGTTATTTGTAAGTTTTTAATTTAAGCATGTAGTTTTTGAGATACAAGAGTTTAAATTTAGCCAATTATGTAGATTACGATTAACCCTTATATCTTGAAAACTGTTGCTTAAAATAAAAAATTACAAATAACTTTTCTACTTAATTTTTCGAAGACTCTCTTGCTGTGATATTTTCGATTCGCGAATTTCGGGACACCCCGTATGTAAACTTTTCATTGCGAAAATAAAATATATATATATATATATATATATATATTGTAATATGTATATGTATATGTATATATGTATATATGTATATATGTATATATGATATACATATATACATATACATACATATTATAGTAGTATAATTATATGTGTTACCTTCGGTAGAGCCCCCGCGGTTGGTAATGTCAACGTTCTTCAATTACCCCCCGAGCCCACTCGACAGTCACGAAATTTTGCCTCTTTGTCCGACCGACGCCGCCGATCGTCTTTATAATTAAATACCTCGTCGGTTGTTGACGTGAAAAAGGTGCACTCTTTATTTTATCGCATCTACGGTTTCGAGGAATCAAGACAATTTGGAATTTCGATTATTTGGGAGTTTGTGTTTAATCCGGAGTTAAAAAAGTGAGAATGTCATGACTTCGTGAACCATATATACATAAAAGTGTACGGCGAATACTATAGAGAAGGACCCGGGCTTGATTTATATTTAGATAGATTTGTCGATATAAGTGTAGAGCAGAGTTGCGAGATAGAATCTTGAAGGAGCTCCGAAAAGAAAAAAAATACGAAGGTGCAAGTATGTCGGACCCGGAACTCGAAGCGTTGCGACAGCAACGTCTGGCTCAATTGCAGGCTCAATATAAGGTAAATGCTGACACGAGACACACTCCGCGCAATCTTGTATTTTGGGACTTGTGACTTAATAACCTCAAAGCTATGAATCATCTGCTTTAACGATTAATTATTATTTCAATTTTTTTTGTTAATTACCGAAATACATGAACTACAATACTATACGATACTCGTCTTTACAGAGTGCATAACATTAGTAAAAGTGAAGTACATATGTAATTTTTTTTTCCTTTGGTGGTTATGTTTTCCGGTTGGGAAACTTGTGTGCCTTCAACCCAGTCCTTTGGATTCCGTGACACAAAGTTACTTGGGCCCATTTTCACAATGTACGGTTACCTAAAGGTTAAAAATTACCAAGAAGTTTATTGTTTAATGACGTTCGATTAGGACTTAATCAACCAGTTAACTGGATGTCAACTGAACTGATGTACACGTAATCTTTAGTTTATTTGATTTTAAGCTTATGAAAAGTGTGTTTTAATTAACTTTCAACCGTTTTTTAGTTAATCTAACTTTTTCGTTAACCGTATATTATGAAAATGGGCCTTATTATATGTTTAATATCTATTCTTGTGTATTTTGTTATATTATTTTGCCTTATCTTCTTAACAAATTTGATTGTACTAGCTAACGTTAACCAGTCTTTTTTGCTCTATGCTCTCCTCAATGTCGATATTGTTCAGTACACCTCTCTCTCCCTCAACTCGTTAATACATATGTAGTATAGATTCATAGATTAACTTGTCGCTTAACACTCTGCACGAGTGAAATTAAAATTGTTTAAGTAAATATATTTATTGTTTTTAGGGTAATAATGCCAACGATAAACAGATGGAGGAGAGGATGCAGCAAATGGAGGAGATGAAACATGCTATACTGACCCAAGTGTTGGATCAGTCGGCTAGAGCGAGATGTAATTAAGTTTACTTTATTATCGATGTCACTAAAGGATGAGATGAACGATTTACAATATGTATCATATGTTTGCGAACAGTGAATACGCTTTGCCTTGGAAAACCGGAGAAGGGCAAAATGGTGGAAGAGATGCTCCTGAACATGGCACAACGCGGACAGCTACCTGGCAAACTTGGAGAGAAAGAACTGATCAACTTACTCGAAAATGTCAATCAGCAGACGCAAAAGAGGACGATAGTCAAAGTTAATATAATTGTGTGATAAAATCGTGCATTTGATGATGTATAATAAGGAAGTAACAAAACGAAAATTTTATATTTCAGTTTGATAGAAGAAGAGCAGCTATGGATTTCGACGACGATATGGACTTGTAGCAATTGTACAAATTTTTCATTCAAGAGTGTTTAAATTAGAGACATTGCGCTCATGGTTCATATTTGCAGTAAGTTACAATACCCACTACTTTTTGCTTAGTCCTGTTATTTTTATGTGCTGCATTGAAATAAAAAAGAAAATTACTAATGACACTTGAGCGAATTTTGGTAGTAATTAGGGGTTCATCGCAATATTATCATTCACTTTGCAATTGAATGTTGCGTACATCTGTAATAGTAGTAACTTGATTGAAATACAGATTTCCAATGGATTATCATTCACCTCATAATCTTCCACTTTTCGATCTTCCAGAGATCAAAAAATCATTTTCATACAGAGCCCCACCTATTATATTTCTCTCTGTAATAATAGTAATAATAATATATATCTGGAGAAATATTTACTCTTTAGATCTTTTTTTTGTATACATATAAATACATTCAGCAAACACAATTATTTTTCCATTCTAAAAAGAAATGACAGTCACACTTGCAGTCTACAACAGTACAACAAACATTTCGCACAACCTGCACACAATGCTAAATATTATTTTATCCATACATATACAAAAACCAATTAGTTTGATGTTTAATATGATTTTACAAACTATGTGAACAATTGTGTTTAATATACAAATTTTTGATATATATTACATACTCTTTTTTTTTCTTTTCTTTTTTTTTTGTTAAAGCTGTGTTAAGACAAAATTTTCCCAGTGTGTACATATTCGCTTAATTCCGTAGGTCGTATTGTCTGGAGGAATACACATAATTTCTCTTTTATATATACAACACGTAAAAGAAATTAGCATCGTATGTACGAAATGGATCAAGAATAAAATATATATGGAATGTCGAAAATATATGAATTATTGTATAAAACTTCTCGCAATCTTAAAACTGCTTTGGCAAATTTTTGTTAAGAACATATTACAATCATAAGCGTTTATATACACTATACATATACATAATGAAAAATGTGTCTTGGAATTCTGTATAATATACCTATTAATAGTAACTATTTTTTAATCATTCTTCATATGATACGTCCCGGTATTCTCTGAAAAAAAAAAAAAAATCATATATATATATTTATAAAATTCATTATCATTAAATAAAAATTGGTCTCTCGTGAGAAATAAAAAGGAATGAATTACCATCTTCGTCATCATTCGCGTCCATCAAATCTGGACAACAGATGCCGTAACATATTAACGAGAGAAATCCAAACGGTAATCCGAGCAGTACCATCATTAAAATAGGATTGCCCTTCCACATTGTAGTCAACATAGTTTTCATTTCGAACCATTTCCTATAACTACGTACTAGCCAATTGTTCCCACCATATCGCTGAAAGTATATAAATACTCATTAATGTATTACTCTTTTAATACAGATTGAATAATTGAAAACACAAGCATGAGAGTCACGTTAATGCCCGTACCGGAGCGCTCTCGTTGCGTATCTGCTCTAGGAACAATTCTATCACGTATGGAGTTAGTTTTTCTGTTTCATCCTCAGGAATATGATGGTGATGGGTACTTGTATTTATCACAAGTAAGCTCGGTACAGGTAATGCCGTCATCGCTATGCTGTTGACTAGATTGGGACTGCCTATCCAACCGAACTGAAAATGACTGAAAGCGACGATTTTGCGACTTCACTTTTAGCACTTATAAATCAATCAGAATGTCATTCAATAAATGTGACAACAAACGTACTCGTGATACTTGTCTCGTTTACTCTTGATCACAGATTCAACCATATCTCTGAATTCCAACATGTCAGGCGTAACCTCTTCCAACTGATTTTCCTCCACCACCGCTAAAACGAGATTCTTATTTGTCAAGAATAATTGATGTATGTTTCCTCTGGTTACTTTCGGGAACGTTGGAAAACGCTCTGCGTTCACCCACTTGTAAAGCGTCTCGTTCACTTGTACCGTGTCGCTCAAGTTATGTCCTACAATTCGAATTAAACACTTATATAAATTCAGGGAATGAAAAATTATTTTTTAAAAGCAATAACTAGTTATTGTTACTCGTTACCGAGTTAAAAAAATAACTAGTTACTAATTTTTAAAAATAACTCGTTACCGTTACCGTTACTTAAAAAATAACGATTCGTTACTTTTTTTCGTTACTTTTTTAATGTTGAAACAAGATCAGTCTAAATAATTTAAGATTTTTTGTTTTAATATTAATAAAAGCAACAATGACACTAGACTGATATATAAAAAAAATACAACTAGGACAATGAAAGCCTTATCGATATGAACTAGAGCTTTCAGCTTTGTGCTTAATAGTTCAAAATAATTATATATATATATATATATAT